AGAATTGTGTCGATGTCCCAATATTTCTGGACCTGACTGAATATACCTGGGGTCAGGATTGACTCAAAGGACCATACAATAAACAACCAGTGATTCTGTCAGTGCCCTGACAATTATTGTTTTAATCTCAGCTGTCTTTAAAAATATAACTTCATCCAAATGTGGTAGTAGAAGTTAATATGGTCCATTATTTTCTATGGAGAAGGAATCTCTATGGAAAGTATATTGCATTAATGCTTAAAGAAATCAGGAGATTCAGTTGGAAGCAGGCTGTTATTTAATTTCCAAGTTTTAAAATATTTGTTATAGAAAGATAACAACAATGCCTTTGAGGAAAAATATGGCAGATGTACTCTGCTTCTATAGTTGGCTTTTTTCTGATAGGTAGATCTTATCCAGGTTTCTCTCTGGGAGCTGGCACAAAAACATGAATTTCGCTGCACGGTTTCTGCAGTATTTGGGTATCTAGAGTAAGTGATAAGGACATCTCCTCAGAAGTTCTCTGAGAAGCTTTTAAGATATCTTTTTCCAACTGGTAAGAATCCTTGAGCTATCCCAGCTCTCATGTTCTTTTCCCCAGTACTTCCATATATCTTCAGAGGCTTTTAAATTCAGCAGAGGAATTGTGGAGGGATGGCCTGGATGTTTACAAATGACTTTTCTCCATATAGCTCCCTACCTTAGCAACATGGATGGACAGGACTGGAGCAGGTATGAAGGCAATTGTTATTCCAGAATCTGTAATGAATTTGAGGATAGGGTCTGCTTGCATGATGGACTTTGCCTTCTATGGGTCAATTGGAGGAAGTACAGATTGATTCATAGTAATCTTTCTATATTCTGTGTTTGTGGTGGCAGAAGTGAAGATAATTGCTTTGGATGGATTAGGGAGTGGAAATGGTGTGGAAGTGTCCTATAAGAGGCTTTGCATTTAAACTACTATATAATAGATTCTGGCCTAAGTAGAAGGTGCATGTCAAAATGAATTGTGGATTCAAGTAGATGAGCCTTTATCATTAATAATCTTTTTCATTCTCTATTCAGAGTTGCCATACATTTTTTACAGTGAATAATTGCATAGCGGATCATGGTATTGTAATATTTAGGTATTCCTACACACATTTATGTTGCATGCTTTTATGCCACTTCAACTGTGCATTTTTAAGACTGAGAAGTCTGTGGGTAGAATATTCATTTAAGCCTTTCCCCCCCCCCCCCCCACTGTTCATTCACTACATTGAACATAATGTTTTTCCACTATATTTTGGCCACTGAAGTCAATAGCCCAGTAAAGAGGAACATATAGGTAAACCAAAAATATAGTTCACTGGATTATGCATTATAAACTAGATTTACTGCATTAAATAAAAAGCCTAAGTCCATCTGATTATTTCAAGTGGGTGCCCTATAGACAGAAAAGCATGAGAGAACAAAAGATATAATATATTGGAAATTGTTCTTAAGAGGGCCACCACTTTGTGTAGAACCTGCTTCCTTCTCCTCTCCTTCCCTCAAGCAGTAACGTGGCTGCAGACATCTTTCTTGCATCTATTTAGCTTCCTTTTCCAAGAACTATTTTTTTAAAAAAATATTCTTTTAACGAAAAAGATCTGGAGGCTGATATGCAGCAAAAAAGTCCCTGAATCCAACGTTAGTTGTAAGAATGCCTCCAGACTTGATATGTAGTCATGGAGGGAAAAAAGATAAATAAATGCAGCCCAGTGCTTTATTTGGAAGTGCATCCATCTGTCCCAGAAGAAGATGAAGATAAGCTAGGGAAGGGGCTAAGGAGTAGATGGGGAATAACCTCACCAGTTTGCCCTTTAGTAAATGCATGCTTCATTATTGGCCATGAACCCCATGGCTACCATTTTGTGATGGTTATCAACATGCTGTATGCTCAAAATTCCAACTAATGTCTTAGAACGAAATGAGCCCTGATTTTGAATAGTCTGAAATTAGAAATCATTTAATTCCAACTATTAGCTCTTATTATTGATAGTTTTTTCAGTACAGATCTTTTTCCAGGGAAAAAGATTACACATTGAGAGAGCTCTTACCCCGGGCTTCTTCTCTGTCTCTAATCTGTACAAATTATTTAATTACATTTTTATCAAATAAAAAGATCCTTCTGATTTCTTTTAATCTGTGAATACTTGAAGAATACTAACTTCACAATTGGAAAGGTAAGACACAAATGGATTGTGTCTTAGCTTTAATGTATTTTCCACGTTCAGTGACCAAACCTTTATTTTCTTCAAATAGGCCGTCGTTTCAAGTTTTCTCACCTGGAGTTAAGATGGTGAGCGTGGGGGTAGGTACAGGGTCAGGCTGGGTGAGAAAATCCAGCCCAGGATCCGGGTGAGTTTCATAACAGATATTGCTATAGTTTATTAAGTACTTGATTTGTTTTTGTCTCTAGCATTTTTCCTTCCATTTGTAGAACTTACATAGAGACAGATGAGGCTGTCTTGCGAAGAAGGCAAAAGCAGATAGATTATGGGAAAAATACTATTGGTTACCAGCACTTTGTCCAACAGGTTCCCAAGTAAGCAGTTACTGTTATTTCTCTCCTGTTTTTTATTAAATCTCTACATAGCAGAAGCTTGGGTGGGCTACTACTGTGGTCATCACTAGCAGTTCTTCTCAAAATCCTGGTATTTGGGCTGTTCATTTTACCATCTGGTCTTGAGGTAAAGACACTTGGGGGAGCTTTATCAGGTCTCTCTGTGCTCCTGCTTTGGGAGGCCTTGAGGTGGCTTTCAATTTCTTATGGTTCATTCCAGGTTGGCTCGTCAGTCAGGTATCCATCCCTGTACTCCAAATAAATATAAGAAGTACAGTCGCCGCTCATGGGACATGCAGATCAAGCTTTGGCGAAGGGCACTTCATGGTTGGGATCCACTTGGACATGAGAGGGAAGTATTTATAATAGTAGTAGTAGTAGTAGTAATAATAATAATAATAAAAAAAAAACATGTATGTTGCCCAACTCTCAATGATTGTGGGTGACTCATAACAATCCAACAAAGAAATTACAATAAAATCAATTAAAGCTAAAAGATGGCAAGTGCAATGAAGCAAGGGGTCTCACTCTCCCTCACCAAAGGCCTGGGTAAAGAGGCAGGTCTTCATGGCTCTTCTAAACAACAGCTGATTGGGGGCCATCTGGATCTTGGGGGGGAAACCTGATCCAGGGGACAGGCACTATTACAGAGAAGGCATACTTCTGGGTTCCTGAGAGGTGACTTTGTTTAATCGAAGGAATCTGGAGCACACTAACCAGCAGGATTGACTCAGCTGAGCAGATGCTATGGGAGACTGATAGTCCCTCAAATAACCAGCCCTATGCCGTTTAGGCTTTATGTGTAACAACCAGCAACTTGAATCAAACCCAGATACAAACTGGCAACTCGTGCAGCTTGCGAAGCAGAGATGTTACATGAGCATACTGAGGCATGCCACATTCTGGACCAATTGAAGCTTCTGAGTGGTCTTCAAGGGCAGTACCATGTAGAGAGTGTTGCAGTAGTCAAGCCACGAGGTGACTTGGGTATGAGTGAGTCGCTGAAGGGCCCCCAGTCTAGGAAAGGGTGCACCACATGGAGTTGTGCAAAGGCCTTCCTGGCCACAGCTGACACCTGTTCTCCAAGCAGGAGCTGTGAGTCCAGGAAGATCTTCAGATTTCTAGCTTATTCAGGTTGAGAAGAAATTGTAAGAAATAAATTAAGACACACCCAACCATACACTTCCCCAGTCAGACATTTTGCCATCTGGAACTTACTAACAGAATTCATCATTTGGCAGATTTACTTTTAATCTTAGTTCAGTATTGTAAACAGCCCCTTTTATTGTACAACATTTACTCCCAGCAGCCTGGTGACCCACTTATAAAGTAATGCTCCCACACTATTCAGGAATTGCAGGCCTAGTCTCCAGTCTATATGCACTCTCCTTGGTATTCCTTATCACCATGGAGACAGAGTTAATTGTCAACAGAGCTGTCATGCTCTTCAGTGAGAGCAAATGGTTCTGGTGCCCATCAGAGGCTGGGAGTATTTTGCACTATGTTAACATGCAAAATGAAACGGGTCACATATATGTGGAAAGAAGGAAGAAATGCAAATATGCCATACTGTACATTGAAGTGAGCAAAACACCATTTTATATTTTCATTCCAGTAATTTGAATGGGTTGCCTATATTTTGGCTACCATTCTGTGGCAGAAGGTGGAAGCATTTAGATTGTAGTTTTCAACTACTCCTATTCCATTTTTCCAACCAGAACATAATAGGATGGGAGAAAACTGGTTTTTATTATTACATTCTATGATAGGAGTATGGAACATTTTGTGGGTTGAAGACTGCATTCCCTAAAAATATTTTGGAGGATCACATGGCAGTTGGCAGGGCCACAGTCCAAAGTGGCTCCTCTCTGGATTCTCAATGAGCTGTCAGGAAAGGCCTAGACAGCTCTTGCTGGAGGTCTAAAGTGACTGTTAAGACAGACAACTGCAGATTGCTTATTCCTGGTGTAGGCTCTAAAGCTGTTTAATGCATTTGCTGCCTGGCTTAGTGTGAATAATCTGCTGTGTTTTGCAAGGCAGGAGCCGGTGACCAAAATGGATCTTTTGTCTAATCTCCCAAATGACTGGTTTGACGCTCAGTGTATTCAGGAAAATGTTTGTAAAGAAGTCCTAGGACAACAGGTATTGGGATTTTATTTAACTATATTCTATATGGCCTTATTTTGGAATAGTTAAATGACAAGAGGATTTGGCAACGTACAGACAAAATCATAACCTGTATTTGGTGCTAAGCAGAGCTGAGCATTCTATACCTTTATGAGACATGAGATTCTAAGTATGGGCTTATTGTTATGGACAAACATAAAACCTTCCTTTTTCTTAAATGACACATTCAGAGAGGTCACTTACTTAGACTACTTATTTCATGTTATTTTTCTGCTTCCTTAGATTTCTGGATTGTCATCTTCTGGCCATTTTTTTACGTTGTTTCAGGATGCTCCCTCCAACAGGGAACATTTCAAGGAAGATGTTGAAGATTGTCCATTTGGCTCCTGGCTCTTCATTTGTTCTCATGGGATCCCAAAGCAGTTGATCTAAAGGAGAAGAATTAGAACTATTTTCAAGTTTTTTGCCACTGCGGCTCACTTGTATTATCACTCAGTTTGCTACAATATCCATAATTTTGTAACAAGATGATCTTCCATTTCTATATTGGACAGTTTTCTACATACAGTAATCTTCATTCAGATAGAACACAAAGCATTTGCCGTTGCCTCTCCGTTATGCACATTCCTATTATTATAAGTATAAGATGTAAGGCAATTGATGACTGCTATTAAACTAAAGTATTATGGCTTCCTTAGATTGTTGGTTGTGGTAAGGAAATTGAGAACCAAAGCACTGAAGTACAGGTAGCTAAACTGTTCTGAGCCCATATTCTACTGCTAGGTTTGTTATTGGTTAATTCTTATCTGCTTCACACATGCACAGTGGTTGGATAAAATAACACTTTTTTGCATTTGACTCTTAATTGACATCCTTCATTTGCTTGCATGTGAATGTTAAATTTGTAAGGTGAGGCATGGCAAAAAGTGTTAAGCTCATTAGAAGAGTTAACGGGTCCAATTTGCCTCTTTCCTTTTGGGGGAAAATGCTTTGTTCCCTTTCTGTTAAACCTGAGTAAGTGTGCCCTATATAGGAATGTCCAGACAGCTTGTCCTCCAAAGAACAGAAACTCTGTAGCGGAGGGTAACAAGCAATAGAATAATTGGAAGATCTTTGCCTGAACTTATAGCATCGAATTTCGCTTGGTTATTTAAAGTGGCCTTAAGGAGAAAAATAGCATCTGGTTTTACACCATGGCTGGTTCACACATTGTACGAAGCAGAATCTATCCTTATTTGTTGAGTAAACTATAATGAGCTGGTGTATGCAAGCTAAAGCATAATAAGTGAGTTCATGTAAGACTAACCAAAACCACATTATTACAGTAGCAGCGAATACAACCACTTTGTCAATCTTTAGACATGATCACACTGTTAAGCTGCAATTCTAGGACTATGCTCACATGATACATAGAACTAGAAATTAGCTGACCACATTTTAGTTTAGTAGATCTGCTAACTCAGCCCATGTGGTTAGTTGGTGGGTTAGTAGAACACATTGATTGGGTTATGTTAACCATAAGTAAGCATGTGCAAGTACAAGTTATGTATGCTCCTGAGAGTAAATCATATTAGCTTTATTGAGACTTACAAATGTAGGAGTACACTGTAATTATTCATTACACTCCTACAGTCTATCAAACTTTATCACAACCATGCCAACAGTTGCTGATTTATGCTTTACATAAGTAGGCTTAGAGATACTATTTTTTTTCTTAATGGAAAGATCAAAATTCAAACGCCATAGCTTCAGCAGGCTGTTGTGCAGTTTCAGATGAGAGGAATTGGGTAGATGTCAGGTAAAGAAAACAAAGTACTCTTGACATGCTCATGGGTGCTATACTTTAGATACAATTTTTAGCAAAATTTGAATTCGGAAATATTGCACGTTTTATAAACCTGAGCAGTCTCAGAATTTCAACCATGCCCGCAAGAAATCCGAAGAATGAATTGCAACCCCTTCCTCCAAAGGCTGTTCATCCTTGTCCTAAAAAAATCACATTGTACTACGTATCCCGTCATACTTTGCTACGTGGTATGGTCCATAAAGGGGGGGGATTTGTGGGGCCAAGAGTCTGTCTTGTAAAATGTGAAATCTTTTCGTTGCCGGAGGGAGGCTTGTGCTAGCTCGTGACGGATGCGTGAGTCTGTTTCTGAAACTGCCTTCTCGATTGCCCCTGAGAGATTTGACCCTGCCCCCGCTGCTGTGTGGGTGGTTTGGCCCAAGCAGGTCGATCCACTCCCGACGGAAAGGGGAGCGGAGGCTCCTGGCGGGGGGCTGGGAGCCCGGGCCGCCGGGTGGGGGTGGCAGCGGAAAGACGGAGGGCCCGCCGGCAGTGGGTGCTAGTGCTTGAGAGTCCAGGAGGCAGTCTCCCTTCAGTAGATGGTTGGTTCCAGGGGTGTTTAGAATAGGGGGTGGGGGGCGCGTGAGACTATTGGGGCGCACTAGTTCTCTGGCTGAGCCGCCGTGAGGTGTTGGAGCTGCCGCCCCCTCCAGCAGGCGGGGAGGGATCAGGCGTTCGGTACGTGTTGAAGGGGCTGCAGAGCCTGAGTGGGTAATATTGAAATATGGCGGGGGGGGCTCTAGGTGTGAGGGGGTAACCAGCAGGCTAAGGTGGGATGGTCTTTGTGAGAGATGGGGGTTGTGGACATGTCATAAAAGGAAGTCGAGGTGGTTTTGTTTTTATGCGGAGGGAGATGGGGAAGAGAGACAAGGTGGGGATTTCAGGAGAGGAGGTGGATGTTGTCGGTAAGTGTGTGAATCTGTATGGGAATTTGGGGTGGAATGGAGGGCCCTGGTGGAGAAGTGGGGAGGAGGTGATTGGCTCCTTCAGAAGAGGGTGGAACAGGGCCTGCTTTGTTAAGAGACTGCGTCCCCTGTGGATGCATTTCTAAAACTAGGTTGATGGGACCCATTCTTAAAACACAGTTGAATCACACTGCTTGATACAGTCGTGGTGTGGAGTCTTACTATGTGTCTTCTAGCAGAGAGCCCTGAGGTTGCTTAAGGCCTACCTCTGATGTGTGCTTACTAAGTAGGTAATTATGTAATTGAAGGAACTGAATGAAATGAAATTACATAGGACAGGATGAGAAATCAACTGCAAAAGAAAATAGTTAAGGGGTTGGCATGCTCTGGTTTAATGTTAAAGGCATCAGGTAAAATGGCTTCATTTATCTGGAGCCTTAAAGGCCCATGACCTGAAGCTATTAAAATAAGGAGGAGTACAGGAAGATGCAGTGTATAATTGCAGAACAGGAAATGAAAGAAAAGAATAATTTTAGCTAACAATAGTGAAGAATAATCAGGAGGTGTTTTCCATAGAATATAAAATTTAATTCTAATTATTCTTGCAGACTTCTTTTACGTTATTTACTTGAGGCCCATGGAAGATCTTTTATTTGATTCTCACAATAGCTCTACTAGTTAATGTGGAAAGATACTGACTTATTCAAGGCCACCCAGTAGGCTCCCTGACTGAGGAGAGGTCTGAGCTTCTTTCAGATGCAAATTTAGTATATTCTATCAACTGCTAAATTAATCAGGATTAAGATTCTTGATGAAATTGAAAATAGAGCTAATATAAGTTGTCTATATCAGCATCTAAGACATAGTTAGTCCAAAAAAAGTTATGAGGAATCTTTTATATACCCCTATGTATGACAAATGTAATATTGATTTTAATGGTTATTTCTATTGAAATGGAAAAAAAGAAACTGCCCATATGTACAGGAACAGGTTCCATTAATTTAAAATAACTTGCTCCAGAGTAAGCCTGGTTTTGCATAACATGCTAGGCTAAAATATAGCTTGCTAGTTTGTGACTCTGTGTTGCGCAAACCCAGCCAGTACTGTATTATTTATTTATTTTACTTATTGGTTAGTGTGGTGTATGTACCCAGACATCTGGGTTAAGCGTGGGCTTGCATGTTGTGTGAACAAAGCCTGTATATACAATTGCACTTAGATTTGTAATAGTAATTGAATTGTTGTAGATATCTCTCTAAAGCTTAGAGTAAGAAGTTTTTTTTAGATAGCCCTCTTAATTCTTAATGAGTCTAACATTTTTGAATATGCATTTTTTATTGTTTCTACTTATATAGCACCACTAGTATATTCTACCTCCCTGAATTTCAAAAGCAAATATAAACAAGGGGGTAGGTATCGGCCCTAAAAGACCTTAACATTTAAAGCAAACAATGGAGAAGAGAATAAAACCGGGCAGTAAGAAGAGGAGGATGGAAAGACGTGAATGTGAGCAAATCTACTTAAATTAGTACTAGATTGCTAATAAAAGGTTTTTCTCATTTGTACAGTATTTTTTGTCTTTGGAATTCTATCTTTATCCATTATTGAAATATTTAATAATTATTTACTTTAAATGGTAAGACTAGTAAATCTGTGGAGACTTGCCCCTTCCCTCATGACAATAAAAAGTCTTTTTGTGTATCAGTTTTATGGTTAATGTTTGACTTCAGAAAGGGTATTATGGAAGATAAAGATACTAAAAAGAATAATTAAGAAATGTAATATTAAAAATGTAACGGAAGTATGGTTTCAGAAAAGTCATCAGACCTTTCCTGGTTTATTCTAATTTCTTAAGACAGGAGTTAGGCTGCTAATTACTTCAATCTGAAATATAGTTACTTACTTGTGACTAAGTAAGTGATAAGTGAATTAGTTTCTGCTAAGGCTTGGGTTGTTTAGTTTATTGAGTTATAATTGACTGGGTTTGTAAAACTAACCCATAAACTATATTTTGTTTTGGCTTCAAATGCAGTGTAAACCTAGCCATTGTGGTTTGTGAATTATAGTTTGTAACTTAGTATGAATAGCTGATTGTGGCTTAATCAACTCATTATTCTTAAAGAAGCCAGGACAGCATGATTTGTGAACCAGGCTACCAATATATATTGACAAAAAGACTATTTTTCCTCAAAAGTAAGCGTTATTGAAATCAGCAAGAGTTCTGATATGTATTGGATTGTACTACAAAGATTAGATTGGTTGCAATGCAAACCTGTTGCTATGTACTTAGAAACAAGACACATTCAGCCAGTGTTATTTATAGGTAAAATGTACAGAGGATTTGAACCTTGCTATATTCAAAATATTGCATAAATATTAACTTTAATCTCCTAAGAATGAATGTAATAAAGAACTTGTCTTCTGCTACAGTTTAAAAGTTATTTTGCTCACTTTTTAAAAAATCTAACAAAGTTTGGCTATTCTGATAAAAAAAAATGGTGCAGGTTAATTTTCATTAGCTTGTACAAAACAAGAAATGATAAATGAACAAGGTATTCCAAAAGCAAATAAAGTATCTGGAATGCTGAAGTAAATAATTTAGTAAAGTTCAACATGAGAGATCAGCTATCCAAACTGAGAAAGGAATCTCAAACTGGGATAAAGGTAGAGATAGCAAATAGTTGAGTATAATTTATAATCCAATTTATTGAATGCTGAGCAATGCTGATGAGAAGTGGTCACATGGGCTATGGGACTGTTCCATGTTTTTGCAAACAGTAATTAGTTTCATTTTCTTATCATGAAGCATTGTATGTTTCGCCATAATATATTTAAGAAGGATTGATTGATTGATTGATTGGATTTATATGGCTACCCATATAAAGTGACTCTGGGAAGCTAACTATATTTGTAGGAAATATGGTGGTGGAGGAGGTCTGAGACCTTAAGAGTGGGATGTTAAGAGCAGGGGCAGATTACCACTGTGATGGCAGAGGAAGGTATGATAGGCCTTTTGCTGGATGTTCCAGGAGGAGAGGGGATTGACATTTTGATGCCAATCCCCTCTTCTAGTTCAATTACCTCTTCCCTGGGTATGGGAGGCCAGATTGCTTAGCAACTTGGCCTAAGGCTGCTGTTGATGAATGCCAGAAGCCTATGTAATAAAACCACAATGTTCCACAATCTAGAGGTAGATGAATGTTCAGATCTGGCATGCATAACAATTCTGATTGGGCAAAGATGGGGATGTAGTTCTGTCCAAGACTTGCTCTCGCTTTGGATGCTTCTGCAACTGTGACTCCAAGGCTCGGGAATGATGGTGCTAATGATCTTACAAGAGATCTTGATGGTGGCCAGGTACCCTGCCCCAAAAGTGACTCTCTTTGAAGTTGAGTTGTAGGGACAAATTAGGTATACTGCTGGCATGCTGTCCTCCCTGCTACCCAGCATTGATCTTTCTCCTAAACACAGGAGTAGTGTGAAATTCTCCCCCACTGCAGGTGGCTGGTGGACTTCAATCTCTATGGCCAGGACATATGATCTGGATGGGATCAGCAATTCATGGCTTCTGTGGCAATGACAGGCTTGTCCCAGGCATTTTTTGGCCTGACTGATATGGAAGAGCGCATGCTAGGCTTAGTCTTTGCCTCAGGATAGATGGGAGTACAAACTGAAGATGGAAGATATCGTGATGAGTCCTTTACCTTGATCAGATTCCTGTGGTTGGACGCTGAGAGAGACTATCCTTGAAGGAGGAAATCTGAGACTTTGGGTTCTCCTGAGCTCATGGCTCTTGGTTGATCAGCAAGTAGAAATTGTGCCTTTTGGTCACCTACAATTGGTATTCCAGTTGCAGCTTTTTTTGGAGCACAAAGGCTGGTGATAGTAACTCATGCCTTTATCACCTCAAGACTAGCCTATTGCTTTTGAAAACTACTTGGAAGCTGCTTAGTTGCTGAAAGATCAGAACTGTTTTAGCATGAAATACCTATTTTGCGGGCATTGTGTTGATTGCTAGTAGGTTTCTGGGTACAATTCAACATTTTGGCATGAAACTATAAAGACCTGTAGAATTTGGCCCCCATACCTTCAGGAATGTCTCCTCCAAACAACTGCCTGTACAGTATGTTTAAGCTGAGAGAGGATGGTTTAGATCCTTTCTTCGTGAGAAGTGAGGGGGTGGGAGCTTGGAGACAGGTCGTCTTGTTGTCTGCCCCATTATAAGAGAATTAGCTTGTCCTCAGAAGCCCTGACCACCCCCACAATATCTATTTTGAGGAAGATGGTGAAGACAATTTTATTTCACTGAGCATTTGGGGAGTTAGCCAAAGATCATTTGACTGCCTTATTGTTGATGGTTGGTTTTTACTGTTTTTATTTTTAATTTCCATTCAGTTTTCATTGCTTTTAACCTGAACTCTTAGGAATATTTTGAAATTTATGGGGTTAGCAGTTGTTTTAGTTATTTTTATTAATTGTATCTGGTTGATTAGGGTGAGATATAAATTCTGGACTGAAAAAAGATAATCTAGCTGCTTAGATTTGTACCACAAAAATGAGACATAACATGACTGGAACTTGGAGGACAGTCTGTTGAAACATTAAAGAAATTAAGAATGAAAATTGTAGGTCAAGTAGGTGATTTCAGGCAGGCAGACCATTCAGATTCCCAGATAGCAAGACACTCACTGGTGACTGTGCCAATCACTTCTATTTACAGCATTTGAATATTAAATTTAGTGGGACCACATCATATGTGTAAGTGAGGCTTGGCTTGTGGTGGGCTTTTAAACTGTTTTTGAAACTATTTAAACCTTTTCCTCTGAATGGTAAATTATGATACTGCCAGTTTTCAGGAATTACAGTCAGAAAAGATTTTGTGGTCTGCAAAAAGGTATCTAAGTAGCCTCATTCAGCACTAAAGCTACAGGATGCTGAGTCCTGGTTAAGAGGGTAAAATGGCAAGAGAATCATGGATGCTTCTGGTTGATTGTGGCAGTTTATGCCCTGATACTTCTTTGGGACAGAACACACACACGCACACACACACACACCTTGAAAATGTTAGTAGAAAGGAAGAAAACATACTTTTTTGCAGTCTGATTTGTTTGTCAGACTTTGCCTTCTCCCTGCGTATTGCATATATGGATTATACAAGGAAGGAAACAGTGTGCACATTCAGGTTTTAAGGAGCAGATCAGGCTTGAACAAGTAGGATGCATTAATATGTCTGTCTTCTGCAGGGCTCTGGAGAATGACATGGAATTTGGCTAGATTGTGAATGAGCAGATGTGGTAACTGATGATGATTAAACACGGCTGGACTTGCTGAGGGAGGTAGAAGGCTGGCAAGAACTGGAGTCTCAAGAGTTCTGATGCCAGGCCTTCATAAGAAGCCATGATCACATTGATAACTCTGCAGCTACAAAAGCAGAGCTTGGAGGAATTGAAATGCACATCCTTCAGCATCAGCCTGGTATGATTTATTTTCCTTTGTCTCAGCCTTGAATGTTAGGTTAGTGTTAGATATATATATTTTCCTCTTGTCCATAGTTGTCTTCTAGTTGATGAATGAAAAGATTGGTAATATTGTACTAACACCAGTGTACTACAAACAGATGCCAGGATCCAAGGAATCATGGAATTCATTCTCTGAGTATTTCAGGAAATTTTGAACTGTTTTTATCTTGAACAGCTTTCTGCCCATGTTACAGGATAAACTGTTTTTTAAAACTGAGAAGTTCAAAAACAGCATTAAGTTTGCAGTTCAAATAGACATTGCTTTTTATTCACCAGGCTAGTGCAAGTCTATTGTATGAGCCAAAATAGGTTCTGTTGTTTTATGTTAAATAAGGTAGTCCTTGTTTAGCGACTGCCTCGTTTAGTGACAGTTCACAGTTATGACGATGAAAAAGTAACTTTATGACCAGTCCTCGCATTTATGACCTTTGCAGGTCTGTAAAACAAAGGAAAGCTGAAGTAAACACAGTCATGGTTTCACTTACCATTCACTTCGCTTAACGACCAAGTTGCTGGTCCCAGTTGTAGTCACTAAATGAGGACTACCTGTAAGAACCGATGGTATGCAAGGTTCTGTAGAAAGAGAATAGGGTTTATTAGGCAGCTTACATCTTCTGTGGAAGCTCTACTTTAATATTGTTTCTCATATATTCAGTGCTTTAGTCTGCACCTTGGAAAAGCTAAAATAACTTCAGAAACTGCCAGTATCTTTGCAGTAGATCTGTGATTTTTTTTAGTGAGATCATTATTTAGCGAGAGCAGGTATCAGTCTCTGTGAAATTATTCACGCTTACTTTACCCAACATCTCATCTCAATAGTCAGGAGATACAGAATATTTTTTAAAAGAAGTATGTGAAAAGATGGGTGAGTACCTGTAACCTATATGCCTAAGTATTTTTTTTTTTTAATGCACATGAAGCTGAGTGGGCAACAGGTGGCTCAAGGAAAGAGCAATCAGTAATAATCTGTCATTAAACAATAGGGTATTTTCTTTGCTGAAAGAGTAAAACCAAGTAGACCTGAAGCAGGCTTTGGTTTCCTAGTCACTTTGCCCAGGCTAGCTTCTTTTGAGGTTGTGGAAGAGACTTTCTTTTAGAATTGAGAAATTAATAGAAACATCATTAGGTCCTTCCCTGCCCCCCCCCCGGTATATATTTGTATAATTATTAAACTACTAGTGTCAGTTGGGATTAAATTTCATAGTAGTGGGAAATAGATTCTCTTCCTCCAGAAAAAACATCATTGGTACCCTGTCTAAAAACAGAAATGGTATTTTATATAATAGATGTGATTAATGTATGGAATTTAATGCTACATGATAATATCTACTACAGTAAATTGTAGGCTATAGGTAGCTTGTAGTCACAACAGATAGAAGAATCTATATATTCAAGGGAACAATTTTGCTAATGACATTTCTTTGCCTTCTGGCTGACCACTGCTAAAATAAGTTCTGAACCAAATGCCTCACTGCTTTGATTTAGCATAACAATTATATTGCAGCTATGGGGAAAGCAGATTGAATTTAATAAAAGAATAGTAAGGGTAACAGAAATTCTGTGAACTGAGAACAGAGTTTTTGAAATTATGGAATTTGCAGAAGGAAAATTTCAAATAAGTATAAATTCGTTTACTTGGATCACATAATAAGCCTATCATATTAGGAGTTTCGTTTGTAGCAGCAGCTTGTATTATCATATTCTGTTCTCCCAAAATTAAGATGACATGATAGAATAAATTAGAAAAATTAGAAAAACTTGTGTTTATTTCAGGCATTTCTCACCTCCTGGTTTTGCTTGCTGTTACCACTGTTGCCATCACCTTCTGACGGTGCTACTTGCCTGTTCCTTATTGTCTAATGTTCTCTTTCTTGAGAGAATGAGTATAAAGTGTGTTGCTTCTATAGGATGACAGTTAAGCAAAATCTTTGCTATAGTAACTGCACATGTACATTGATAAGAATTGGTGCTGGAACCCTTCCATGCTAAATGTCATAGGCTGCTAAATGCAGCCTTTATGGCAGAATTGTAGAAATTCAGTATATGTGAACCTGGAAATTTATATGGTCACCCATCTTAAGCAAATAACTCTGGGCACCTCACAGTACAAAACAGCATAAATACAAATGCAACAAACATAAGTATAAAATGCAGAATATGAAAGCCA